CAGACGTGCAGGCTCAGCAGCCATGGCTCACGGGCCTAGCCGCTCTGCGGCATGTGGGATCTTCCCAGACCAGGGCACAAATCCGTGTCCCCTGCATCGCAGGCAGACTCTCAACCAGTGCGCCACAAGGGAAGCCCTTAAAAGGAATTTGTTTTTTACAATCCTGTTCTGATATTTCATTGTTAGTGTAAAGGAATGCAACTGATTTCTGAATGTTAATCTTGTATCCTGCTACTTTGCTGAATTCATTTATTATATCTAGTAGTTTTTGTGTGGTGTTCTTAGGGCTTGCTATATATAGTTTCATGTCATCTGCATATAGTGACAATTTTACCTCTTCCCTTCCAATTTGGATACATTTTCTTTTTTGTATCTGATTGCTGTGGCCAGGACTTCCAATATTATGTTGAATAGAAGTGATGAGACTGGGCATTCTTGTTCCAGATTTTAGAGAGAAGGATTTCAGCTTTTCATCATTGAGTATATTGGCTGTGGGTTTGTCATAAGTAACTTTTATTGTGTTGAGATATGTTCCCTCTATACCCACTTTGGTAAGAGTTTTTATCATTAATGGACGTTGATTTTGTCAGGTGTTTTTTTTCTGCATCTATTGAGATGATCATGTGGTTTTTGTCTCTTCTTTTGTTGATGTGGTGTATCACATTGATTGATTTGCATATGTTGAACCATCCTTATGAATTTAGGATGAATCCCACTTGGTCATGGTGTATGATCTTTTGTATATTTTGTTGGATTCAGTTTGCTAATACTTTGTTGAGAATTTTTGCTTCTATATTCCTCAAAGATACTGGCCTGTAATTTTCTTTGTTGGTGGTATCTTTGTTTGGTTTTGGTATCAGGGTGATAGTGACTTCATAGAATGTCTTCGGGAGTGTTCCCTCCTCTTCAGTGTTTTGGAAGAATTTGAGGATTGGTAAAAGTTCTTTGTATGTTTGGTAGAATTCACCTGTGAAGCCATCTGGTCCTGGATTTTTGTTTGTAGGGAGTTTTTTTTTTTTCCTTTAATTACAGATTCAATTTCACTTCTAATGATAGGTCGTTTTAAATTATCTGTTATATTCTTGATTAAATTTTGATGGGCTGTATGTTTCTAGAAACTTGTTCATTTCTTCTAGGTTGCTGAATTTGTTGGCATATAAATGTTCATAGTATTCTCTTATGGTTGTTTTGTATTTTTGCAGTCTTGGTTGATATTTCTCCTTTTTCATTTCTTATTTTGTTTATTTGGGTTCTCTCTCTTTTCTTTGTGGTGAGTCTGGCTCTGTTGTTTTGTGCCCTAGTATGTCATCAGTCCTAGAGAATATTACATGTGCACTTGAAAAGAATGTGTGTTCTGGGTTTTTTGAATATGATGTCCTGAAAATATCAATTAAGTCTAACTGTTCTATTGTATAATTTAGAATGTCTGTTGCCTTACTGATTTTTTTTCTAGAAGATCTGTCCATTGATGTGAGTGGGGTGTTAAAGTTGCCTACTATTATTGTATTCCCATCAATTTTTCCTTTTATGTCTGTTAGTATTTGTTTTATGTATTTGGGTTTTCCTATATTAGGTACATATATGTTGATGAGTGTAAAATCCTCTCCTTTTATTGATCCTTTTGTCATTATATAGTGTCTTTATCTTTCTTTATGGCCTTTGTTTTAAAGTCTATTTTGTCTGATGTGAGTATTGCAACCCTCACTTTCTTGTCATTTCCGTTTGCATGATATGTCTTTTTTCCATACCCTCACTTTCAATCTGTGTGTGTCCTTTGCCCTAAAGTGGGTGCCTTGTAGGTAGCATATCGTACTTACTTGTTTTTTTATCCAGTCTGCCATTCTGTCTTTTGATTGGAGCATTTAGTCCATTGACATTTAAGGTAATTATTGATAAATCTATATTTATTGCCATTTTAAACCTTGTTTTCCAGTTGATGCTGTGTTTCTTCTTTGTCCCTTTCTTTTCCTTTTTTGTTTTTCATTTTGTGGTTTGATGATTTTATTTTATGCTTGTGTTCTCTTCTTTTTGATTTTGGTGAATCTATCGTATGTTTTTGATTTATGGTTACCCTGTTTTTCAAGTATGTTAACTCCTTACTATATCTGCTTTGCTTTAGACTGACAGTCATACAGGCTCAAATGCATTCTAAAAAAAAGAATCTACATTTTCTCTCTCCTCTCCCACATTTTATGATTTTGATGTCCTCTTTTACATCTTTATGTTTATCCTTTTGCTCTTCCTTGCGTTTATCATCTCTTTCACAAATTGATTAAAAAAATATTTTTTCCATCTGTATACTGGCTTATTTAAGTGATTTACTTTCCAGTTGTGATTTCCTCTTTCCTATATCTTCTTGCTTCTTTTCAAATTAGAGGAGACCTCTGAATATTTCTTTTAGGTTAGGTTTAGTATTGCTGTATTATTTTAGTTTTTGCTTCTCTGAGAAATTCTTTATCTCTCCTATTCTAAATGATAATTTTGCTGGGTAGAGCATTGTAGATTGCAGATTTTTCCCTTTCAAGATTTTAAATACGTTTTTCTACTCCCTTCTGGCCTGTGGTGTTTCTGTAGAGAAATCAGCTGATAGCCTTATGGGGGTTCCCTTGTAATTAACTCTTTGTTTTTCTCTTGCTGCCTTTAGAATCCTCTTTTTATGTTTAACTTTTGCCATTTCGATTGTAATATGTCTTGGTGTAGGTCTGTTAGGGTTCATTTTGTTCCTGACCTTCTGTGCTTTCTGTATCTGGATAACTGTTTCCTTTTTTAGGTTTGGGAACTTTTCAGGCATAATTTCTTCAAATTCCTTTTCAATCTCCGTTTCTCTTTCTTCTCCTTCTGGAATCCCTGTTATGCATAGAGTGGCACGCTTTATATTATCCCGTGGGTCTTTTTATATTGTTTTCATTTTTTTTTCATTTGGCTTTCTGTCTCCTGTTCTGATTGGGTGATTTTCATTATTTTATCTTCCAGATCACTTATTCGTTCTCCTGTATTATTCATTCTGCTAGTCATTGCTTTTAGCTCAGCTTTAATCTCGGGAAATGAATTTTCTGATTTTTCTTGGCTCCTCCTTATAGTTTCTAGTTTCTTTTTACAGTAATCTGCATTTCTTTCGGTAGCCTTTCTTAATTCTTTTGGTATTTTCATTACCTCCTTTTTGGACTCGGTGTCCGTTACACTGAAGAGGTCTGTTTCATTGTTCTTTTAGGGGGATTCTCTTGGTCTTTTAACTGGGAGTGGTTTCTCTGCTTCTTCATTTTATGTATATTTCTCTTACTCTGTGAGTTTAGGAAGAACAGTTATCTACTGTGATCTTGGAAGGCTGTTTATATGCAGGAGCATCCCTGTGTAGCTTGTGTGGGTTTAATGTATTTGGTGCAAGGGCTGCTTTTCATATGGATGCCTTCTGCATCTTTCCTCAGCATGTGCTGGCTGTTATCCCCTTGATAGGGGGTGTGCAGATGCTGCAGCTCTTGTGCGCTCCCTATCAAGGGGATAACAGCCTGCAGTGGCAGCACTGGCTGGTGCCCACTCCCAGGGCCCACGGCAGCGGCTCATGTGTGCTTCTGGATCCCACAATGGTGGGGGCAGCAACTGGCGCCTGCTCCTGGATCTCTCAGTGCCTGCGGCAGCTCATGCCTGCCCTGAGAGCTCATGTAGGCTGTGTCCTGTCACGTGATACCATGCGCATGGGGAAGGAGGCTCCTAAAGCGGTCCTCCCCTCTCCTTGCATGCCCCCCAACAGTGGCACCTTACCTCTGTGGCGGGGACCAGGCTTCTTCCATGTATACCCTTGGTTGTGGCCATTACCACACTCCAGCTCCTTCAGGCTATCTCCGTGCAGCCAACCCCAGTCCTCTCCCTGGGTCTGACCTCCAAAGCTCCAGCACCCAGCCCCCACCTGCACCAACGGATGCATGTCTCAGGCTGGGGAGTGTAGGGCAGCCATACTGACTGTCTGTGTAGGTCTTCCTCCATTTTGCCTTCTGCAGCTAGTTGCTGCACTTTCCTCCAAGGCGCCGAAGCTCCCCCTCTATCCTGACTGATCTCCCTGCCAGTGAGGGGACTTCCTAGGGTGTGGGAACCTTTTCTCTTTCATAGCTCCCTCCCAGGGGTGCAGGTCCTGTCCTGATTCCTTTCTCTCTCTCTCTTTTTTTTCTTTTTCTTTTGTCCTACGCGGTAACATGGAGATTTTCTTGCCCTTTCAGAAGTCTGAGGTCTTCTGCCAGTGTTCAGTAGATGTTCTGTGAGAATCGTTCCACCTGTAGATATATATATTTTTTTAACTACTTTTTTTTTTTTTTTTTGCGGTATGCGGGCCTCTCACTGTTGTGGCCTCTCCTGTTGCGGAGCCCAGGCTCCGAACGCGCAGGCTCAGCGGCCATGGTTCACGGGCCCAGCCACTCCGTGGCATGTGGGATCTTCCCGGACCGGGGCACGAACCCGCGTCCCCTGCATCAGCAGGCGGACTCTCAACCACTGCGCCACCTGGGAAGCCCCTGTAGATATATTTTTGATGTATTTGTTGAAGGAGGTGAGCTCCCCGTCTTACTCCTCCGCCATCTTGATCACTCTCCAGTTTCTAGAATATTCTTGACAGGAGCTTTGAGCTTTGTATTTCCTTAATTTTTTCCCTTTTTTTACTTGTTACAATGTGAAGTAACAACTAAATGAGCAAGATAATTAAGTCACAGTTGTTTAAAAATGTGGCTTGTGGGCTATATAAAAAAATTTACATAGTATTTGGTATTTTAAGTATTTAAGAGATGATTTAAAGTATATGGGAGGAAAAAAAAATGGGACAATGTGGGTAGATTATATATGAATACTATGCTGTTTTATATAAGGGACTTGAGCATCTGCAGATTTTGGTATCCACAGTGGGGAGGGGGGTCCTGGAGCTATTCCCTCATGAATATTTAGGGATGAGTGTGTATATATATATGTGTATGTATAAGTGCATGTATAAATATATATATTTTTTCCTCCTTGATTAGATGACTTCCCAGAATCTACAGGAGTAAAGCGAATTGTTCAAGCCTTGAATGCCAATGTCTGGTCCAATGTAGTGATGAAGAATGGTAAGTAACTTGGGACTGAAAGTCCTGAGGAGCTTTTTCCTCCTGTTCCTTGTAAGTTTTAAATTATTTGATTATATGTGGAAGCATTAGGATTATATGAAATCTGTGGATTTGTTCAATTTTAAGTCCCCAGTTGAAGAGAGCCAAAAGAAATATTTCTAAGAATTTAAGATATATGTTTAATAGTTAACAAGAATTTAGAACTTGCCTATAATATGCCTGGCATTGTCTTTGGCTTTGAGAAATACCCCCAAAATTGTAAAACATGAATCCTAGCCTTAAGGAGCTCATAGTCCAGCTGAGGAATCAAAGTGTACACTTTTAAAATGCTACATAACTGTGCAAGGCAGTCTTTGATGAGCACAGAATGACTGATGCAAGTAGCAAAGGCAGAGAGGCCAGAGATGTGGCCTTTACTGTGGGCTTGAGTACAGAGAGAGAGTTTCAAGGCAAAAGCGGGTCTTGGCAGTCATCTTCACAGGATGGTCTAGATTTGGGATGGTGAAGTGGGAGAGTGGCAAACAGTAGAGGAAGCATGGCATCAAGAATAATGGTTGTATGTTCTAGGGTCACTAGGAGTCTCTCACCTAGCAGTTGGAGATAGCTTAGGAGAGAGAGGTCTGTATTCGAGGCAGGAGAATCTGGGCTTTTTCTTATAGGAAGCGGTGAGTCATTAGAGATTTCTTTTCTTTTGAATTTTCTTTTATTTTTTATATAGCAGGTTCTTACTGGTTATCTATTTTATACATATTAGTGTATATAGGTCAATCCTAATCTCCCAATTCATCCCCCCCTCCCTGCTTTCCCCCTTGGTGTCCATCCATACATGTGTTCTCTACATCTATGTCTCTATTTCTGCCTTGTAAACCACTTCATCTGTACCATTTTTCTAGATTCCACATATATGTGTTAATATACAATATTTGTTTTTCTCTTTCTGACTTACTTCACTCTATATGATAGTCTCTAGGTCCATCCACATCTCTACAAATGACCTGATTTCGTACCTTTTTATGGCTGAGTAATATTCCATTGTATAGTATGTACCACATCTACTTTATCGATTCTTCTGTCGATGGGAGTTTAGGTTGCTTTCATGACCTGGTTATTGTAAATAGTGCTGCAGTGAACATTGGGGTGCATGTGTCTTTTTTTTTGCGGTATGCGGGCCTCTCGCTGTTGTGGCCTTTCCTGTTGCGGAGCACAGGCTCCGGACGCACAGGCTCAGCAGCCATAGCTCATGGGCCTAGCCACTCCGCTGCATATGGGATCTTCCTGGACCGGGGCACAAACCTGTGTCCCCTGCATCAGCAGGCGGACTCTCAACCACTGCGCCACCAGGGAAGCCCCGCATGTATCTTTTTGAATTATGGTTTTCTCAGTGTATATGCCCAGTAGTGGGATTGCTGGGTCATATGGTAATTCTATTTTTAGTTTTTTAAGGAACCTCCATACTGATTTGCATAGTGGCTATATCACTTTACGTTGCCACCAACAGTGCAAGAGGGTTCCCTTTTCTCCACACCCTCTCCAGCATTTGTTGTTTGTAGATTTTCTGGTGAAGCCCATTCTAACAGGTGTGAGGTGATACCTCATTGTAGTTTTGATTTGCATTTCTCTAATAATTAGTGATGTTGAAGCCCATTCTAACAGGTGTGAGGTGATACCTCATTGTAGTTTTGATTTGCATTTCTCTAATAATTAGTGATGTTGAGCAGCTTTTCATGTGCTTCTTGGCCATCTGTATGTCTTCTTTGGAGAAATGTCTATTTAGGTCTTCTTCCCATTTTTGGATTGGATTGTTTGTTTCTTTAATATTGAGCTGCATGAGCTGTTTATATATTTTGGAGATTAACCCTTTGTCAGTTGCTTCATTTGCAAATATTTTCTCCCATCCTGAGGGTTGTCTTTTCATCTTGTTTATACTTTCCTTTGCTGTGCAAAAGCTTTTAAGTTTCATTAGGTCCCATTTGTTTATTTCTGTTTTTATTTCCATTACTCTAGGAGGTGGATCAAAAAAGATCTTGCTGTGATTTATGTCAAAGAGTGTTCTTCCTATGTTATCCTCTAAGAGTTTTATAGTGTCCAGTCTTACATTTAGGTCTTTAATCCATTTTGAGTTTATTTTTGTGTATGGTGTTAGGGAGTGTTCTAATTTCATTCTTTTACATGTAGCTGTCCAGTTTTCCCAGCACCACTTATTGAACAGGCTGTCTTTTTTCCATTGTGTATGCTTGCCTCCTTTGTCATAGATTAGTTGACCGTAGGTGCAAGAGTTTATCTCTGGGCTTTCTATCCTGTTCCATTGATCTATATTTCTGTTTTTGTGTTGGTACCATATTGTCTTATTTACTGTAACTTTGTAGTATAGTCTGAAGTCAGGGAGTCTGATTCCTCCAGCTGTGTTTTTTTCTCTCAAGATTGCTTTGGCTATTTGGGGTCTTTTGTGTATCCATACAAATTTTAAGATTTTTTGTTCTAGTTCTGTAAAAAATGACATTGGTCGTTTGATAGGGATTGCATTGAGTCTGTAGATTGCATCGGGTAGTATAGTCATTTTCACAATAATGATTCTTCCAATCCGAGTACATGGTGTATCTCTCCATCTGTTGGTGTCATCTTTGATTTCTTTCATCGTTGTCTTATAGTTTTCTGAGTACAGGTCATTTACCTCCTTAGGTAGGTTTATTCCTAGGTATTTTATTCTTTTTGTGGCAGTGGTGAATAGGATTGCTTCCTTAATTTCTCTTTCTGATCTTTCATTAGTGTATAGGAATGTAAGAGATTTCTGTAATAATTTTGTATCCTGCAACTTTACCAAATTCATTGATTAGCTCTAGTAGTTTTCTGGTGGCATCTTTAGGATTTTCTGTGTATAGTATCATGTCCTGCAAACAGTGACAGTTTTACTTCTACTTTTCCAATTTGTATTCCTTTTATTTCTTTTCTTCTCTGATTGCCATGGCTACGACTTACAAAACTATGTTGAATAATAGTGGTGAGAGTGGACATCTTTGTCTTGTTCCTGATCTTAGAGGAAATGCTTTCAGTTTTTCACCATTGAGAATGATATTTGCTGTGGGTTTGTCATATATGACTTTTATTATGTTGAGGTAGTTTCCCTCTGTGCCCACTTTCTGGAGAGTTTTTATCATAAATTGGTGTTGAATTTTGTCAAAATCTTTTTCTGCATCTATTGAGATGATCATATGGTTTTTATTCTTCAATTTGTAATATGGTGTATCACATTGATTGATTTGCATATATTGAAGAATCCTTGCATCCCTGAGATAAATCCCACTTGATCATGGTGTATGATCCTTTTAATGTGTTGTTGGATTCTGTTTGCTAGTATTTTGTTGAGGATTTTTGCATCTACATTCATCAGTGATATTCGTCTGTAATTTTCTTTTTTGTAGTATCTTTGTCTGGTTTTGGTATCAGGGTGATGGTGGACTCAGAATGAATTTGGGAGTGTTTTTTCCTCTGCAAGTTTTTGGAAGTGTTTGAGAAGGATGGGTGTTAACCTTTTCTCTAAATGTTTGATAGAAGTCACCTGTGAAGCTGTCTGGTCCTGGACTTCTGTGTGTTGGAATATTTTTAATCACAGTTTCAATTTCATTACTTGTGATTGGTCTGTTCATATTTTCTATTTCTTCCTGGTTCAGTCTTGAAAGGATATACCTTTCTAAGAATTTGTCCATTTCTTCCAGGTTGTCCATATTACTGGCATAGAGTTGCTTGTAGAGTCTCTTAGGATCCTTTGTATTTCTGCGGTGCCCGTTGTAACTTCTCCTTTTTCATTTCTAATTTTATTGATTTGCGTCCTCTCCCTCTTTTTCTTGATGAGTCTGGCTGAAGGTTTATAAATTTTGTTTATCTTCTCAAAGAACCAGCTTTTAGGTTATTGCTCTTTGCTATTGTTTTCTTTGTTTCTATTTCATATTTCTGCTCTGATCTTTATGATCTCTTTCCTTCTAGTAACTTTGGGTTTTGTTTATTCTTCTTTCTCTAGTTCGTTTAGGTGTAAGGTTAGATTGTTTGAGATTTTTCTTGTTTCTTGAGGTAGGATTGTATGGCTATTATAAACTTCCCTCTTTGATCTGCTGTTGCTGCATCTCATAGGTTTTGGATCGTCGTGTTTTCATTGTCATTTGTCTCTAGGTATTTTTAATTTTTATTTTATTTATTTTTTTGCGGTATGCTGGCCTCTCACTGTCGTGGCCTCTCCCGTTGCGGAGCGCAGGCTCAGCGGCCATGGCTCACGGGCCCAGCCGCTTTGCGGCATGTGGGATATTCCCAGATAGGGGCACGAGCCCGCGTCCCTTGCATCAGCAGGCGGACTCTCAACCACTGCGGCACCAGGGAAGCCCCTTTTTGTCTCTAGGTATTTTTTTATTTTCTCTGATTTCTTCAGTGATCTCTTGGTTATTTAGTAATGTATTGTTTAGCCTCCATGTGTTTGTGTTTCTTATGTTTTTTTCCCTGTAATTTATTTCTAATTTCATAGCGTTGTGGTTGAAAAAGATGATACGATTTCACCTTTCTTAAATTTACTGAGGCTTGATTTGTGACTCAGGATGTGATCTGTCCTGAGAATGTTCTGTGTGCACTTGAGAAGAAAGTGTAATCTGCTGTTTTCAGATGGAATATCCTATAAATATCAATTAAATCCATCTGGTCTGTTGTGTCATATAAGGCTTATGTTTCCTTATTAATTTTCTGTCTGGATGATCTGTCCATGGGTGTAAGTGAGGTGTTAAAGTCGCCCACTATTATTGTGTTACTGTTGATTTCCTCTTTCATAGCTGTTAGCATTTGCCTTATGTATTGAGGTGCTCTTATGTTGGGTGCATATATATTTACAGTTGTTATATCTTCTTCTTGGATTGATCCCTTGATCATTATGTAGCGTCCTTGCTTGTTTCTTGTTACATTCTTTATTTTAAAGTCTGTTTTGTCTGATATGAGTATTGGTGCTCCAGCTTTCTTTTCATTTC